TTTTTTTTTTAAATTCAATTTTTGTACCAGTTTTCTCTCATTGTTCTTCACGCCGACCATTGTTAATGTAACCATAGCGTAGGTACGCTCAATCTACGATGGAAACAGATTGTTTGAAAATGTGCCAGTAACGTTGAATTTGGCTTCGACGATGGCAATAACTCGTGAAGAAGATTGCCCTCTGCTGCCGTTTCTCAATGAAACCTATTCAAGCAGCTTGGAAAATGGAACCCAGTAATCAGTTTTCACTTTAAAAAAAACTGCATTCTGCACTTTAATTTTTTCCGCGGTTTCCTTGGTATTTCGCGACGTGATACAATCAATGGTTCGGGTATGACTACTCTTCCAGTTACTACGTGCAGACCTTTTATTGAACATAAATGTGAAAATCAAGTCCCCATCAACTTGCTTTTAAGTAACTTTTAGAGAAGGTTACCGTTGACAGATTTGCCAGCGTGTGGTCACTGCTGACTTGAACTGCTTGCAAGTGCCTTCGTCTCTCGTAGTTGGTGGGGGGAGGGGGTCTTGACTTTTACTAAGTATCTATAGCAGTGCAGTGGCACTGGTATCGGCCACTACTTTGGCTCTGAGTCCCACTGTTCCTTGTAGAAACCACTTAGATTAAATGGCACTTTATTATCTGTCCGACCAATAATTTATCTGAGAAAATCATCCGACCAGCTGTCGCCCGTGGATCTTGCCACTCACTGTTCTTCACTGTTCAGGATGAGCGGTCTAGATGCTGTGAATTATGTGCAAAAATGGGTTGCCGATTATTCGCAGTGGATACCACCGCACAATCACATCATCGTTTTGACAAAGTTTGTAGCTTTACATAAACTCCAAATTTCCATATTTTTTGAATTGAAATAAAATCAAAGTTCTTGGAATCATTTAGTATTTAATTAGAGCTAATTCCCGAGTCACTTAGGCTTAAACAGAATTAAAAAACTATTCAAGAGCAGATATTAGCTAATTACGACGAATACTGGGAATATTAAAGATTGAAAACCGTAGTATAATTGGCCAACGCACGGGCTGCCCGTGCGAAGATGCGTTTTTTGCAGAGTTCCCCGCA